TTATCAGACGTAACTGTAAGTTCTTTGTTCGCATTATTAAGAACATTGTTATACTGTTGGTACATCACCAACCTTTCACATATCTTGACACGTTATTATACACTAAAAATGATTTATTTATTTTTTAGAACATTATCAATGACAGTTCTACGTCTACGTAAGGTGTTGCTGTTACAACGCAATGAAAAACTTTGTATAAATGATTCATTTGTAATTTTATTAACTGTAATAAACATTTATATATTTCATAAATCAGTCTTTTGATAACCGCGACAAATCGGTTAACATTAGGTTTCATTAGCAATGCGCGATTGACGAAAAGTGATAAAACGTCGCAGTAAGAAATGTACGTAAGCATTCTCCTAGGTCTTCTGTGATGTCGATAGGCTTTCGAGAAGCTTTTGCGTTAAAACACTTTTCCAGGAAAATCCAAAGGTTTGGGGAAGCTTCCCCAAAATGATATAACTATCGTGTCCGTTCCCCTTTCACCTGGCTTCGCAGGCTTTAACAGACGTCACCATAGTGTATTTGTTCTTTTGTATATTGTTTTATACTACTTACAAGAATTCAGTAGTCAGTTGTATTACCAATAACTTCAGTTAACTTGGGGGATTTCCCCAAAGTTCCCCAGGTCTGGGGAAATTTTGGGTTTTTTTTTCTCATTTCCCCAAAATTTATTATAGCGGCTTCCCCAAAATGGACTAAATTTTCACCAAAGTTGGGAGCCTGGGTAGTCACAATCTGAATACACTGATGATGTGGGCTTGTTGTATTCGGAATCATAAACAACATGGGAATCTTAACCCTTTCGATAATATTTACGCAGAATACAGTCTAAAGAATTATACGGTTTTTCCTGCAAGTTGGATGGTCACAAAATTAAAAATAACTCCAAAATCAAGACATCTCATATATATGAGTGTTGTATCTGAACTAATAAATACACCGGAACATTATGAAGGGGAATTAACCGGAAAGGTGATTGGAACACCAGTTAAAAAATGTATAGCAGGTAGAAGCCTGTATTTTTTCACTGGTAACTAGCGTAACATGTGTATTTGAACGAGTAAATTAACATGACAACTTAAATAACATTTTACAGTTGAAAACAAGAATTGTACAAATTAAGTGAGGTTATGAATGATATGAATATCGACGAAATTATTTAAAACTAGGTCCAGATTGTCCATCTCTACAATGGGTGACATAAAATGTAATGAATGATAAAACTAAGCTGTTCGTGCGATTATAAGATCTAAATAATAACAACCCAACGTTTTTTCAACTTGTATGCGTCGTAAAATGTATACCAATAATAAAACTTTACTGTAGTACTATGTCACTGATGATTACTGATCTTGCATATATTTCACATGAATAACAACTTTGGTCAAAACTATCGCTTCGAAGCGATTTAGAAACCCTGTTTGTTTGGTAAATGCACACGTCTCATCACTATTATTTGTTTGACTCGTTTCATTCTGCTAATTTCAGTAAATAAGGCTAAAAAGAATATTAAAAGGCAATGATAGACTTAAACCAGTTTCTGTTGGAGCAACGATAGTTTCAGCAGTCCTGGAGATCACTAATCGGGAAATAAAGTAATTCAAGACTTAAGTCTTTGAAGTGCAGAACGAATAATATCTACAACTTTGCAGTGTGAAGAAGCAGCTAGTACTAAAGAAAATTCTTTTAGAGGAATATTTACACTTAGAACGTCCGTTTTAGTTCTAATCTATTGTAATGTTTCGTCCTATTTTGAAGATAAACTTACTGACAGACTATTTCGCGTCTGATTCCATTATTACATTTCAGACAAATAAACGACAGTTGGCAAGTTACATCTAACTGTTTTTCAATTGGTTTCACGTTTCCTACACTCTAGTGTATGGACAGAAAAATTATATCGAGGGAGTGTCTATCCAAGAAATCTGGAATACTTTCTTGAAATCAAGACAAGGCGAAAAATGGTGAACAATATATAGCCACAAAAATGTGGAAACAACTGGAGTTGAGTTCCTAATCTTTAACGACAAATATAATTTCCAAGTGAATTTTAGATTTTTTAAGTTATATAGCGTAGTGGTGCGTATATAGTTGGTGGGACAGTTTATAATTACGTGTCCTACTTAGATTCGTATCCAAAGTAAAGACAAATATTGATGTTTTGCTAAGAGATAGCCATAGGTTCCTGAATGCTTTAAAAGAAGTTCCTAAATCAGAAATGACCTTGAAAACGATATACTCTTACAACTCTTATCAAATAATACCTACTGGTCGAACATACTATTTAATTCCACTATCAAAATGGTATTTGAGACAGTCAGATCAGAGATTGAGAACATCTAAGTTAGGTTATTGTAAACAAATATACATGTAAGTTGCTAACATAAAAAAGCTACCAACCAACTTGGTCTTGAAATGCCTACCACCTTGATTCAGTCTGATATTGTTACGAGCTGTTTTTACTTAACCAACAATCTGTGAAAATTAATATCTTCTTATAAGCATAAATATTACTCATAGTTATTCATTCTGACGTAGATCCCAACGCTGCTTGATACGCGTGCTTTATTTTCTCTCATCTTGACTGACTGTATGTATTCTCTATTCCTGAACCTTGTCACTTTCTGTTTTGAAACACATAGATTTCAAAGACCAAATTTTGGTTCTATTGGTTAGAGATTTACCTAGACTCCAATTCGATATTATTACGAAACGTATACGATTACTCAGAATATTTACTAGTGAGCTGACATCAAAGAATTGGAGAAGCTTGGACTTACCTAAAAAACAAACTAGTGTTTGGTAGTAACTGGAAAATTACTATGGAATCTTGAATACGTTAGTGGTGAGTAATTACTGACTAACCAACCTGAGATATATTTTCCTAGATGACCCGAAGAAAACCGGTTTCGGTAATCTGGAAATGTAGACAAAGACCGGAAAAAATTGTTCCAGACGTACTAGCTCCGTACTTTTGGAACTTAACCATGGACAGTGACAGTTTACCACAACAGTTTAGTATAGTTAATAGTACGATTTTGCTTCTTGATCTGGAATTTCCTGCTTTTAGTCTTACAGTTTGAAGACTCTAAAAAACAAAGTCGGATGATTCTGACAGAAAATTCTTCCAAACGTTGTACTCGGAAGAGAAACAAGGATGATAAGTCGGGAAGAATACATTTGTTCTTTAATAGAAACAAATGAATGTAAGGTCCTCAGGCTATCTAAAAAAGCATTTGATACGAGATGTGCCGAATACTCAACAAAACCTTTTCAGTTGGTTCACCGCGACAGGTTAATTCGACGAATTTACGATACCACCTAAGGACTCTCTTAAGCTGCAAATTTCGAAGTCTTTTATTTTAGAATACGAGACAGTACCAGGCTTTGTAGAATTCATATTAAATACGGTATTTCTGATGAATTTTATGTATATCTGTGACCGATAGACTAGTGGTAGTAAAGTATAGCTCATATTTATTTTCTATTCTACAGCACTAAAGCTTCTTCTGTAAAGTGTTCCTGAATCAAAACTAAGCTTCTACGAAACCCAGAATCGTAAATAAAAGCTGTAAGATGACAGATTACATCCATTTTTCACTCACGAAACAAATCATCTGTATGCTTAAACTGTAAACTAGTGTATTAGGCTTAGCGACATACTAAAAGCATAATGCTCTAATACTTAGTTACATTGAGACCGATACGCGGAGGAAAAATGCAATGTCTCTTACCAACGATATTAAGTCCAGGTGGTTGAAGGTCATATGATATAAACGAAGATAATCATAGGCTCAAACTAAATTCCTGAAACAACAATGTCCGCCTTATGACAATAATCGCCTAGCTGTCAGTAACGTCCATGAGAATTTCACATTTCAAGTTACTATTAACTAGTTGGTTGGTGCTCTTACTTATTTGAGTTTGACGTACTTCTTTCCTGCATATGAAAACTACCTTTAGAAAGGTACCTTCGTATTGATGAAAATCCGGTAGGACGTCTAAATCTAGATGGTTAGATCAAGTCTCTCCACGTTATAGATGACCAAGTTAATAATATGAACCGACAGGCTACTTTCATTCATTTTTGCCGCTTAACTTGCTAGTTTCCTGTGCTCATGTGATGGCTTAGATAATCTATAACTGAGCGACATTATACGCTAGCAAGAACTAGTGTTCTATAGAATATAAACATTACCCCACAGTTTTATAATGACTCGTGTATGTAGGTAGTGCGATGAAGCTGAGGACTGGAAAAGCTTAACTTGACTATTTTAGCCGGTATAGATTCATAAAACATCTACATAGATATAAGCACAAACTACTGATAAAATGATTGTATCTGAAAACAAATAGGTAAGTGATGGAATTTCAAAATAGGTATTACTTATATATAGTGTAAGGACTGTAGCTGAATATTTCTTACCAAATTAAAATAAAAGGCATATGTACAACGGCTTTTAGTTTTGTAATGATCATATATTTATATGAAAATTCGATACAACACATGTGCAATAAAACTTTATACACGTTGGGCTTTGAGTCGAAACCTGTATATGTTTTATATGAAAGTAAATAAGACTGACCAAAATTAAGGGATGGAAATAAAAAGTCGTGTTTCATCAATATCACATAAGAGAAGGCGAAGGTAGTTGCTTCAGTCATCTGGTACGCTGCGCTCAGTTCTACTATCAACTCCACCACTCAAATCCATCGTATCGTAGTGCTCCTCATCTGCATCAGATATTACAGGGTCCTGTTCATATCCTTCCATTTCATACAGTAACGAGAAATCAGTCAGTCGGCGAACTAAGTTTGAACGAGTCACACTTTGTGATGGATGAAGCAAACTGTTTACCATTTCTTCATCTGCTCCTGAAGCTCGGTCAATGATCTCATTACCATCCTCTTCTTCGAAGTTAGCACAAACACCAATTTGGAATGAGCTGAAATGTGGTCTGGCCGAGTTACCGGTGTTTTGGCCCCCACGCAACCCCCTGACTCGGAAGTGTCTTGTCGATTTATGCCGCGACTTGAAATTGGTGGGTTGGTCATTATATCTCTCAGATGACTGTTAGCACCCTTAGGATCAAGCTCCATAGCCCATGAGTAATGAATCATTGCTTGTGGTGTATTTCCCAGTTTTTTGTAGGTGTGTCCAATCATCAAGTAAACCATAGCCTCACGTGGAGTTAAAACCAAAAGTTTTTGAAGCTCCGATAATACTTCCTAATTAGGAAGATAACAAACAATGTAAAGTACTTTAAAATTTTAATCGGATAAAATTTAGGACACAAAAAAGCCTCACTTAATGAAACATTATATGGAATAACATATTGAAATTTAGAATTATTCTCCTTTGGGTCCATCTCCATTAATATCATAGATATGACATCATCATACCATTAAAGTAAGAAACAAGATACTGCATAAACCAGAAGATATGATCAAGATTTGGATAGATGAATCGGGCAATCAAATGTATGTAAAAGTTCCAGAGTGATGCTTACCGTTAACAGATGCAATCGTCATTCTATTACGTTGAGTTCTACAAGTAATTTTAATTTTCAGTGACTACAGCCTACATTGTTATCATATCATTGCAAATATATATGATTGATATATCATCCACTCGGTTTTGTCTAAAATCGACCAGAAAAGAAAGTGTCTGGTCAAATAGTCTTTTAAATTATGTGTCCTAAAACAATGTAGAGGGATAATAAGAAACCAAAATGTCGGAGATATATTTGAACCACGATAACGAGAAATTATACCATAGTTATTGATTGAGATCTTGAACCGACTGACGTTAAACCAACATTGAAAACCTGGAAGCACTGGACGGCCGTTTTATCCCATTGTGGGACGCCTCAGCAGTACGCATCCACGATCCCGCTCGCGGAATTAGAACCCAGGGCCTTCAGTCTCGCGTGCGAACGCCCAACCTACTAGACTACTGGGCCGGCACCCAACGGTATTAATGTCTAACCTCAACCAATCCACAAAATTGCGTGACCATCTTCTATTGTATTGCGGTAGATACCTGTCTCTACCCGACACGGATTAGCTCTATATAGTGATAATTAAGCTATAATTATCTAACAGTTCATGATTGAAGATAAACACCAAAAAGTCGAGAATGAGCGAATAATGAGAATTTCATATGTAAAACCATGCTCACAATTGTTTTTAAGCCTGAAGATATTGTTTCAACATACTTTTCCCCCAAATGACTAATTAATGTATTCACTTAGAATAATGTGTAGGTAAATCAAAGAAAACCCAGAAATCAAATAAGCCAGTAAATTCATGTTCGCATATTTGAAAGATATTAATAATATACAGGCACAAGGAACTGTTGATAGGATCGGTATTTTATTCAACAAGTCAGATATGAAAACAAAGTAAATTTGATCTTCAAAGATTGTCGCACATATCCAAGTACCTAGTGTGTTAATTTAATTGACTAAACATTTTTTTACTGACTTAGATTGATAAATGAGTCTGAAATCCATTGATAAAGTCAGTATGAGTGAACCATGAAAAAAAAACGAATTGGCAATAGATTAATTCAACTACTTAAAGGAATACAACCTATTCATTACCTATATTTATTAAGACTTACAGAATAGCGTCCAAGATGATATAAAATAGATGCTTTGTGGTAGCGAGCTAGTGGATTGTTGGGTTGAATTTTACAAGCACGACTAATCAAATCCATTGCACTTCCATAACCATCATCAAGTCTACCTAGTCGACTGCGTAAAGCTGCAAGATGAGTCAAAAGTAAATGTGACTGAGGGAAAAGTGCAACTGCGCGAACCAAGTAATTTTCGGCAAGATCGAACTTTTCTTGTTTGTAATAAACATTACTGATTCCAAACAAAGCATTATAATGTCTTGGATCAATTCTTAAGGCAAACTGGAAAGCTGCTAGTGCTCGATCAAACTCTTCTAGAGTTGACTGTTCATGACCCAAAAGTGTCCAAGCATAAGCACTTGTAGGTGAAACCTAGAAAACGAGAGCATAAACGACAGGACAATCAGTTAAAGTCCCGAACATCAGTAAAAAGAATTTAGTAAACTGACGAGCCTGTAAGTAACCCGGTAAAGAATGTTAATATAAAAGGTAAATCTAGAAATGGTTACTTAATATGATTTAACTGCTTAATTTCATTAAGAGGGAATACATTTCTCGAGGACTGACCAGTATAGTTATAATACAACTTATGTTCTTAAACCGAAACAGATATAATGTCAAGGAATCGCTGTATGTAGTATATGAAATATTATCCTCACAACATAAATTTCATTTTCCCAAATTCATGTATACAGGTTGTTTGAAAAGAAGCCTTCCCAGTTTTTACTGTTTAGCTCTGCATGTTTAATACCATGACTGTAACGTTTTCATGTAATCAGAAACAAATCCAATGAACAAAAGCAGTAAACATACACGAGAATGCTTAAAAGATACTAATGGCTCACAATGATCAGGACCAGTCACCTAAAATGTGACGGGAAACGCATTAGTTTTAAGTTATAGCTATTTAGTGTTTTCATTCATTGAAACAGAAAAAAATACAAAATACAAAAGAAATGTAGTACAACATGAAGTTACTGGCTATTTTTATAAGCTATGTGGGAAAGGCATGGAGGGAAATGATGAAGTAGTATTGCACACCGAGTCGAAAAAAACTATTTACCTGAAGAGCACGACGAAAGAATTTAATAGCTGCTTCATGTTCACCTTGCAAAGAAAAACAATTACCTGCTACACACCAAGGTTCAGGAGCATTACGATCAAGTTCTAACAAATCATGAGCTAATTGTGATAATTCCTGATCAGCTTGGACTTGCCATAGTACTGTCGAGTAGAAGTCCATTCCAGATAGCTGCCATGGTTCCATACGACGAGCTTCATTGAACAACTTATGAGCTGTTTGATAATCTGAATTATCCATATGAGCACGAGCTGCCCACGCCAAAACACGACCAGTATGAAGTTGAGAGCTTGGAAGTTTTAAAAGTAGACGGGTAGCTGAACGCCACTGATGTCGCACCAACATCTGATAAGCTTTGCCAAGTTGACTTAACAAGTTTAAATACTGTTGTAGTGAGAGCATTCTCGGATCATCTGTTATAGGTGGGGCATCGATTGACAAGGGTGCATTATAATGATTGCTGCATCCGAAATCTGGTGCATCATCATTTGTAGAAGTATGTATACTTTTAAAGGAACTGGAGTCGGGATATACACCTGAACTGGTTATTTTAGATTGCATGTTTGCAGAGTTTCCCGTCGAGTCCGATAGTAGTAATTTAGAATCAAACTTGCGGTTCTGACCTCGACTTCTTAAAAATCTATTCGACTTTCTCTGAATCCCAGAAGCCCTGGCTACAGCTGCAGCTGCTGCCACCTGGGACCTTGTCCGAGGTCCACCTGTAGAAATGTCTACAGAAGTGGTGCTCTCGACAGCTCGACACCCCGTAGATGTTTGTTGACTCGAAAGTGGTCTTGGTGTTGAAGAAGAAGTCAACATGCCAGGACTTTGAGAAGCAGGATTGAAAAACTGCAAATTTGATCTCAATACTGAGAGAGAATCGCGGTTGTGGCGGGTGCCGGGCGTAGGATACAAATTCCGTTGAGAAGTGCTACGTAAAAGAGGTGGCTCAAGACGGGCACTTGGTGTGCTGACAAGAGAGGTGGTAGTTGAAGTAACATTTGGCTCAAGCGTTAGAAAACCAAGATTAGATGCTGCAGTGGAGACAAGATGACGTAGAGCACTGGTCGGTGTATCGGAGAGAGCATTAGATTTCTCTGAAGAGGTAACAGATGTATTAATTTTGACGTTATATGCAGTATTTCTGTCTCCACTCAATTCATCAATATTAGGGGCCCTTTTAGTCCCCATAGTTGTGTTGTTGTTGCATGAAGTATCATTTCTCTGACGAGGGATTTGGAAACAGGTTATATCATTTTGGCTATTATTCAACGAGTTAAGAGTAAACTGTAACTCAGGCAAGCACTGACTTGAAGGCAACTGCACAGCTTTCGAGAGGATTGATTCCGGAGATGTAGTTTGATTCTCAGAAATTTTTGAAAATACCTAAAATAGGATAACAAAATGAACTATGGAATCATACAAGAAACAATGTGATTCCTGAACAATCATTCCACAATTTGTAGGTTATGATGACATGGATATGGTGGTCAAGTAGAAACTTCATAGACGAGTACTTCAAACATAATGATATTCAGTTTAAATGGTTTTAAAGATAGCGGCTGGTTAAGTAGGTAGTAACTCACACAATATCGCTCTTCGAGTGGGATTTCTTGTTCAATGACAGTTACCAAAAACTAGTGAGAACAATCATTATTCTAGGTGGTATCTGTGAGGCAACGAGAAGCCCAAAGCAGAAATCTGGTCATCGAGCTAATGAAGGGCGAGTGACGACCTATCCGTCAATCCACCATACAACAGTAAACAGTATATCGAGTAACTTCGAAAATCTAAACAAATGAATCCTACATACGTCGAGGCGATTTGAAAAGCTAAGCTTTTAAGATTATCTGCGAAAGAACAAATATTCACGAGCAATTTCATTATCTCGCATCATGGTTTTGTGTGCTCTGGAATATTACCAACTGAAGTAGTCATAAACCCATCGATGGATACCTTTAGGTTATATCAATATCTATGCATTCCGAATAAGCATCTCCCCTAGGAACAGAGAACAAACAGATGGGACAAGTTGCCATCGCATTTGCCAGTATTTCAAATTCTTCCGTTGTGAACTGTTTTATGTGTTCCTTTATCGCTACATTACATATCGATTCTCCATACAATGGATTAACACACATCATACCTTTATATTATATTAGCTATGTATAACTATAGATCGAGTCGCTTGACAGCAACTCAACATAAGTCTTCATTGTTGTCACAAGTACCTCAACTGTTCCCAAAATACAAACACCCAACCACTCTTCTGATAGGATTATTATGTCTAAGTGACTAGGAATATCCTGATACATGTTGCTCACAACCATTTTACACCAATTCATCACATACATTAATCAAGGTAGAGAACTTAATATAGTTTAAGAAAAATAGATAGATATTGATTTCGAGAACGAGCTTAAAAGGCAATATGAGGAACACAAATAACACACTAAGAAAGAGCATGAACTTACGGGAACACAAGCGAACATGGGACTTTGAGGAAAAAAAGAAAGTAAACCAAAACGAGGTACATTCGGTTTCATGGACAGCGAGTTTACGTTTTGTGCTAATTTGCGTGCAACTCGGTTAACAGGTTTTGGAGCCTTCGGAGACAAAGTAGAAGGTATAACTTTCTCTGGGGTATGAACGTCTACAGGTTTAAGAGAAGGTACCAAATCACCAATGAAGCTTCTAGAGCAAAACGAGACAAAGTGACGTTGATTGGTGTATTGACAATCTGTATCAACAAATGTTTCCTGATCACTACTTTCACAATCTTTTGACGACATTAAAGCCTGAGTGGTAAAAGACTCACAGTTTTGAGGGTTGACATTTTCTCGTGAAGCACTTTCATACGGATTACTGTGTAGATCATCGAGCATAACGGCATACACAGGTGTTGTAAGTTTAAGCCCGTTAGGATTCTGGAAAACAGAGGAAGGCTCAACATATTCACCGATATTGCAGAGGTTTTTAAATGCAGACCACATAAGAGGATTCATTTCGAGACATTTTTTGTAGTAAATAATAGCATCACTAAGTCTTCCTTGATGTTTGCAAATATCCCCTAGAAGTAGCAAAACGTAGCAGGATTGTTCTTCATAAGTACTGGTTATCTCGTCTAGGGACGAAGAAGAAAGACCAGAAAACAGTATAGCATCTTCGGCCTCCGTAAGTGAACCAATGTCAAAGTAGCATTTTGCAAGCAAGTATCTAATAAGCGAATGTAAATCCATTTTTAAGAAACTAACCGACTCTTAGGAGATAACGAATTGACAGAGTTGAGTAGTTTATTAACTTGTCTCGGCCTGCCAATTCGATACAAACTGGTGGCCAGTATATAAAGGCTTTCGCTATTGTGTGTTTCAGCATATAATCTTTCAGCTGCAAATAAAGCATCATTGTAGGCATAATTGTGAAGGCACGACCAAATATGCAATACAATAGGGTCTGAAACAAGACTTAGTTCTTGGACCATTTCGGGAAAGGTAACGGACCCAGTTCGAAAATCGAGCGGATTTCGATGTAAAGAACGATTGTACAATTACGACGATCTTCAAATATCGGTTTTTCTGAATAATATCTCACTTTTTTTAAATTTTAAAACTAAGCGAAAGAAAGGACAGTCACATAAAATTCAGAAACATAAATCATATTGTTTTCATTTAGGTCTCGTGACTCATTTTCAAATACTGGTACTTCTGAAGTCATGAACACGTAGTATCACCACCGTTTGTTGATGCTGAAAGACAGTCTTTGAAGGATAATATGTTACCAACCATCCATTCCTCATATAGTACACAAAACTAAGCAAAGAGACTGACTACCATTTCGTCTTCAGTCTAAACTTCTCTCAAGTCATAGTGAAAATTGAGGAATAAATATTAGTAATTTAATAAGCTCAAAGAACATTATTATTCCATAAAACTTCCCCTATCTATCACTAAAAATAAATTAAGGGCTGAGAATTTTCATGCGATATTATATCATGGGTTTGTTTGGATATATACATTAGTCTCAAGGTCATAATGTCTCAGCCTTTTGCTGCTCTTCCGTACAGAACAGATCATCGTAAAAGATGTCTTGCTACATTATCACTCATTTGTGATGATGAATCTTTATCAGATGCACAAATAAAGGCTTACCAAACACGCCTACAGTAAGTCATGTCTTGAAGTTACAGTTTAATTATATTTAAACAATTGACACCAATCTTGTAACAATTATTTCCTAATCGAGGTTGCTTACTTTTGTCCGCTTCATCAATAAGGGGTCTCAGTGCTTATATATATCACTCAATATTTATTGTTTCATGTTGTGTGTCACAGTTTCCTGTTAATAAACTGACCCCCCAAGTTACCTAGACAGTGAAAAATATTATTACCGGGCAAGATGGGGGGAATGAAGAGATCGCATCGGGAAATAAAAAAAAACGGAATACGCGACGAAAAGCTTCCCCTAACTTCACTTTTGGTCGCTTTACCTCCGAAATATCATCAAAACACCGACTTCTCGCCCAAATATAGTTGTAATTGTCTACCTTTCGCTTAGCCACAAATGTCTCGTATGTTCGCTTTCACTTCTAATACAAAATATCTTAAGGCATACGCCGACTTGATCAAAAAAGATACATTGTTCAAGACATTAATTGATAGGAAATAACACCATAGTTTACTGTCATTTACAAAGATCTGCAGAAGAAATTACAGGCAGTGTGTTGTTCATTTAGAATGTGTCCTATTTGCTTAGTGCATATGAAATCAAACACATAACATATACTTTGTGAGTTCCAACTTATTACATACTAGTAAAAAAGTAATCCATGGTAAGAGAAGACTTTAAAAGGAAATCAGGTCTAACATTAAAACAAATCTCAAAAACAACACCTCAAACTGCATTGTTACTATTCCGAATATAAGCACCCCTCCTCTGTGTTCTGAAATTTAACAAACTAACAACAGTTTCCAACTGCCGACATAATGTGCAACTTACGTTAATGTTTGTTAATACAAAACACTTCACCTACACGTTAGCACTGGAAGGTTATCATCTTATATTAGTACTCACATTTTTTGTCTTCCTACAACCAAGGAACAGAAGTTTCCTACGAAAGATCACAGGCGTCCAACCTAAGTTCATCAGCAATCATGTTTACTACCATCTAGAATTGAAAACCAACTTGCTTAGATATGTTGAACTTCCGTTGTGTACCTGTAATTTTGATACGTTGAACCTGCATATCTGCCTAGACAGACTTTCTTTTTCAAGGAGCTCTAGTCAACAGCCATGACCTATATTATGACACATGATCGCCCCTAGGTTTAGTAACGTGTTTATGATAGGTATCTATGAAGAGAATACTAAACCGGCGGAATTTAATGAAATGTCTGCAGAAACCATCTCTGAATTAAGCGAAATGGGCGACCCAGTGTTGAGTTCAATAAATACATGGCTATTAAACTAGCTGCTGTAATCTGTGACGCACTTGCTCGTTTGGAAATTAGATACAGTTAATCACAATGAGAAAGCAGGTTGTGATAGATGTTTCGTAGTTGGTCAGCGCCTAGACCGAGGTATAACGTTTCCAAATGGTGAATATACATTGAAAACTGATGTTTTTCGTCACCGGATTCAATCCATTCATTATCAGGGCCATTTCAATTTCAAAACACTTGCCATTAATATGATTTCAATATCCCCTTTCGATCCAGTGCACATGATATACTTAGGGAAGCTGAGGCTCGAGGAGAAGAGTGTTATTGTTAACAATATTGGCATTGCCGTTAGGTACTTCTCTCTATATAACAAAAACAGGTATAGTAAGACTACTATCGTGCTCGCCCGTAAGCAACAAATTATGACAGTATCGTTGGCTTATATAACGACTATCCTTATCAAGACGCCCATCTTAATTGTCCTATCACTGAAAGACATAGCAGTCCTAAACCTATTTTAATACCAGGTTATAAGTTTAAGTTCAGGTACAGTGTCCTAAAAACTTGAACTACAAGTTTTCTCATTCATTAAGTATGTGTACTAACATGTTTATTGGGAAATGAATGTTGCAGTGTAATTAAACTTTGTTCGTAGTTGCTACTTGTCCAGTATGATAAATTGACTCAAATTTATTTCTACTATTTCTCTTAGAGAATACCGTACATTTTTGGATGCAGTCAGTCGCCTTGCGCTTTGTAGCAATGTATGCGTGACAGAAGAGGCTGTCACAATAGGAGAGCATGGTCTACTAACTGGGGAGTCCTTAAACGCACTTCAACATGCCGGGCGATATCTGTGTATAATACGCTGCAGCAAAATAATTGGGAATTTCCTATTTCTGAAGGTAGACTTCTATGTTACATTAATTTTCATGTTTCAGAGGGTGAAGTAGCCATAGTTAAGGCTCATGTTCCTATTCCTGATGAGTTTTTAGATTCTGAAAAACCTATTCGTTCTGACTGGCCCGCAGTTCATATTTCAGAATGCTTTGTTGAAGGTGAACGAGCAAAACTCCACGGTTCTGTCCGGCCACTACGAACTTTCTTACCGCCTACAATTGTTTTTCGTAATGCTGCAGATGTAGATGAAGATGCTCCAGAACCAGAAGTCAATATCATAAATTCTGGTCCAGAAGGAAGCATTGAAATAGTCCAATCATTTAAGGGTTTATCAGTTAAAAAGCCGTGTAAAGATGGTAAAGGAGGTAAGATTGATAGTTTCATTCATTTGTTCTTAGAAATCCATTGTTGACACCAAATTGTCTACATACTATTCCTGTGTGGCGCATGTATATTGGCGCTCTCTTGTACCAATATTCATGTGTCCAAATAAATAAATAAATAAATACTATTCCTAACGATTTTTCAAATTCATAAAATCATTAAAAAAACTGAATTCTATGCCCTATGTATATAATATACATTCATTTCTTTGGATTTACTGACAGGTCAGTGCTCCTCTACGTAGTTTTACCAATTCCGAAAACGTGATTGTCGGTAAAAATAACATCAAATAGGGTTCTTCGTAAGATTAATGCTAATTATGAAGGATTGCAAGATATGTCGTAGTTCGGTCTGAAAGCTTGCTATTCTACGGAATTCAAGATTCATACAACTTACGTACAACAATATCTATGACTTAAGAACACAAGAAAATCATAAACTCAAAGCAAAACTAACTAGTTAGCTAATAGTAAAGGTCAGTGTGGTTGAGTTAAAAGTTACCAACACGTTCCTTGTTTATCATAACCATCATTTATTAAGAAAGGTAAACGAGAAACTGTCTTAGAAGTGTGTGGTCTTCATCTAGATACCTTTTAAACACCCTTAAAATACGATACGTAGTAAGAAACATACTGATTAAGTTTTTACTACCCTGTTAACAATTTATGGGTTCTATACGTTGGAAATCCTTAGGATTTCTGTCTATAGTTCCCGATGATGCCAATTTGTTTTTTTTTTCAAAATACATGTCCGAGCAAACACGTGACCATATTGTATAAGAGTTTTCTGTTCTATTCTTTCAATCACACCATGGCGTAAGTAACTTCATTTGCTCAGTAGCCATATTAAAAACATAATTCGCAAAATTCCTTTAACACTGAACTCGATAAAATAACTATCCTGCGGTTATTTCCTAGAACTATTTTATTCCTAACTTAGCTCATCTGGAATTCGTAAGCCTCACAACATTTCTTATTACCTATTTTATCATTCAATCCTATTTAAAATCATTTAGTCAAGTACATTCCAATCGACGAGTACTATTTTGGGCGCCAAGATGGAAATGCCGATTATGTGGAGGAAAAAGGTGATTTCAGATTCAAATGTGCGGTTTGTCAACGGATTTTCTATTCAAATACGAAATTAATGTCTCATATTCTTGGTCATGTTGATGAGGCTTCACAAGCTTGCCTAGACACTGCAGATACTACACAATGTTCCGTTTGTAATCAAATGTTCTCTTGTGCTTTTGATCTAAGAGATCACATTGAAAAAGTGAGTTATGAATTATTTATTTATAATTCTTTATTTTGAAATGGTACTAATCACAATTCGTCTTCAGTTTTCAGTAATTCATACAAACCCCTTAGCATTAAACTATTTTGTCTTCCTCTCATATCACTTTATTGTTTACGTACAACTCCAATTATTTCATTTTCACTATTAATTTTTGTAGCCATATTCAACTTACATAGCAACCAGTTTTTCTTTTTATTTATCTATCTAACCGTTTTGATGACCGAGAGCTTGAAATATTTGTCCTTAGTCGAACTAATCGCGAAGCTTGAATAATTGTTCTTTGTCGGTATTATTATCATTATTTTATTTAGTAGACTTTCACCATGGCTCTCATAACTATTGTTTCAATTAGTAATCGTATTTTTTGTGATATGGCGTACAAAAGCATACCCTAACAGTCATATTTGTAAATAGCCTGCAAAATTCATATCCTCGAAAAGCTTGTGACACCTAATCTTGT